ATAGGAAAGCAGTATTGACATCAAGTTGATGGACGTGAAACTGCTTCTGAACTGACACTGCAAGTGCTGTCCTTATGGTGCTCAGCTTTGCTACTGGAGCATACGTTTCAGCATAGTCCACGCCAGCCTTCTGTTGGAATCCTTTAACGACCAAGCGTGCTTTGTAGCAGATAGGGTAGCCAAAATTTTCCTCTTTGACTCGAAATACTCATTTCGATTAAAACGGCTTGATTCCCTAAGAACGCTTCACAAGTCGTCAAACGATATTGGAGTGCAAGAAATCCAGTTCATCGTTCACAGCTTTCAACCAGCATGTCTTGTCAGCTCGACCGGAGATCTCATCGAACGTAGTTGGAACATCTAGAGCATCTCCCTGTGTCACAGAAAACGTTTCTGTTCCAGTTAACATTGTATTTGACTTACCGCAGAACGGGCGCACCCGTTTGCATGACCTCGTAGAAGTTTCAACGGAAATTGATCTACGTTCAGTGCACGAAGGGAGCGCAGTATTTGAAGCTTCACTAAGTGGCATCGTCTGCAGGGGATGTATACGCAAAAAATAATGTTCCAACTAAAAAATCTCGTTACTTGCCGGGGAGCTTGTGCTCCCGTTCGCGGTGCCTCGTGGTCGCCGTGTTAAGGTTATGACCAGGATCTAGATGCGAAGGGAGCAGTATCTGAATCGACATCTTCATTTGACTCTTCCCCCTCTTGCTCGAATCTTCTAGTGTCTGGTAGGTTTGCTGCAACACCAGCATCTGCTTCTTCTGCGAAATCGTAAGGTGGGCTCCCCTAATAAAATTGTTATGGTTATTTTGTTGGACATAAACGGAAAATTGTCTACGTCAAATTTTACGTCTCGTGCTACAAGCGAGCTCTGGGTCTTCATATTCCACAGCCTGTACCCATTAGGTGCGTAGCCGACCATTACTGTCAGCTGACTCTTCGAATCTAGCTTTTCCGCTGCAGAGTGGGAACCAATGCGTATTCCTTGCAGCCAAACACGCTGAGTTTCGTCATATCAGGCCTCTGATTCGTCCACATCTCGATAGGAGTTTTGCTTTGCGAAACAGCATTGGTCGGACTTCGGTTCATGAGCTAGTGTAGCTTCATTCCACATACGTTTCGGTGCCTTGCACTCGATCAGAATCATACGAACTTTCTCGATTAACGTCCGATTGAATCTCTCGAAGATTCCATTCTGCTGTGGAGTGTCTGCAACAGTTGGTTCTATCTGGACACCCTTCTCGGAATAGAATCGTGACTGGTGCTTTGAGCAGTATTCTCTGCCCTGATCCACGGTAAGCCACGAGATTTGGTGCCCTGTTGCAGCTGAAATTATCAATGAAAGAGACGATGTACCGAGAACCATCCCAAACTTTTGGCGTAATCGGTCCACACACATCGAAGTATCACAAAAATCAAGTTTACCTTGTTCCACGGTCATTACCGTTAGTTTACGCAGATTTTGTAACTCAAGGTGGTCTAGCCTGCGGTGCCGCAAATCAGCATTTCCAGCTACGCGCAGGATTGCGGTTGCATACTCCAGGCAAACGTCTAGCTCGTAGAAATCGCCTTTCAGAGGACACATGCCTACAATCTCACCATTGTTGTTCATCACAGCCGATTTTTCTCTTCATAGAAGGTTTGCTCGCAAATCTGGTGCATAGAGAACGTTGTCTATGGTACACACTGAACACCGAGACTGTAGACTCTGACGATTTTTCCTTTGTGCCAAGCTGTTATGGACTGGTCATTTTTTGCAATACATATAATGACGGGATTCTTCATCCTTTCAAGGGACTCGAAATATCCGTTCTGGTCTACTAGGTGGTCACTAGCTCCTGAGTCCAGCTTGAAGGTAATCGATCGCCGCTATCAGATGACCTAACACCCATGAACGCAACAGCCTTACCGCCACTTGCCGCATTCGCTTCCGCATGAATCTTGCTTCTGCAGTCCTTAGCCATATGTCCTTTCTTGTGACATAGATTGCATTTAACTGTGAACTTCCGTGGTTTCTGTTTGATTCCAACAAACGCTGACGGCTTTTCTTTGGTCAGAATTCTTCATTTCTTCTGCCAACAATCTCTCGCGAACGGCATACAAGGTCAACTTATCTTCATCAAGGTTCTACAACGCTGTGACTAACGGGTCGTAGGATTCCGGGAAGGTTACGAACAGCTGCGAAACCAGATTACTTTCTTCTAGTTTTGACTTCAGTTTCCGAATAATCTCGTCGAAAGTCTTTAAATGGTCCTTGATTGATGTATCTTCGGCCATTCTCAACTTTGCGAGTTGCTTGCGAAAAAGCGTTTGCGAAACCGACTTCTTGGCGTAGATTCATTCCAGAGTGCTCCAAATTACCTTGGCCGTTTCTTTTTCACGAATCATATCCAGTAAGTCATCGTGAATGAAGGAGATGATCACATTCGTTGCCTTTCCATCTACCGATTCTCTGCGTGTATCGCCCTTAACCGTTTGAATTTAAAAAAGTGGTTTAAATTCAGGAAGAACTCAAGGGGTATTCAACTGTGCACACCTTAATCCGTGTCGAGAGATTGAGCAGTGCCGAGAGCTGTGCCAAGCGCTATGCCGAATGTGGTTTCAATCAAAGTGTACCTATCAATGTGTCAATATTCCATGAGTTTGGCAACCCCGATAGTTATGACTTTTTTATTGTGTTTATATTCTCAATTTATCAGATGGATCAAGGCTAGCATTCAGCTTCCCTTCATTCTCATTAGTGCGCTTGCGGATCGGGAGGTGGAAGAGGAAGTGGAAGCCATCAAACCTGTACCACAGAGGTACTATAAGACCAGAAGGCCCCGAAGAAACGTGCTCAATTTTTTGGCTCAGCTCTGGTACTCTCTTCGGTCCCAAGCTAATCGATGCACCCCTCGAAACATAGGAAAATCCACGAACCCCCCATTTTATCTGTCAAACTTTCATAGCGAATCAAAACAAACATAGTGTAGTACTAGAATTTCGACTGGAATGGGGTACGTTAATCGATTTGCTAGAACCTAGCCTGAGGCTAGCCAAGTAGTGAGCCAATTTATAATCGATAGTTTCGTATTGATTGTTGCCTGTACGGTGTTCAACCCGTTCGCCAAATTCCGGCTCAATGTCCCTACTGCTGATTCCTTGCAGATGTACAGAAACGAAGGCGTAACCCAATCGATGATGGATGAAATTTCCACCTGCTCCCTGTCATATTATTCTTGACTTAAGTAACTCAGAATTTGAACGGGCGAGCATTCAATCCCACCCCAGGAGCAACATACTCGGGCCAGTTTTTAATAAAGCCTCAAATCCGATCGGTAGACCACCCATCGTTCTGGGATCCCTTGATACGAGGTAGTTCAACAGAAAGATGATGACAGAGATGCATCAGCAAAATTCGCAAAAAGTCGGACTCGTGGAATAGAATGTAATTGCATTTATAACTGCAATGATCCGTTCCCTATAAATCCTATACTATTGCACTAAGGCAATCGTACTCCGATCCAGGTCTGATGGAATATGTGGGGTTAATACCTATTGACTTCCCCCAGCAATACTGGGACTTCATTCAAAATTATATGGACATCCCTTTAAAGTCCTGTGGATATCCGATCGTAGCCAATATCAATTGAGACCAATGGCTGCGATTGTGTATAAACTGACGTTCATAATCTCCAGGTTTGGTTTTGATTTTCATGATCACGGGATCCAACTAGTTTGCACCATAGGTAGCTTTTGACCAACCGTCGGTCGCTGGAGATAACCAGCTTCAGCCGTCTTGACTGCCGTATCGATAAGACCTTCTCGACCACACCATGGTGTGGATGAACTAGATTGAAGTCAATCCCGAATAGAAGCTGTTCTGGATGAAATCACGGGCCGCTGGAATTATTAATGTGAATCGGGTGAGACGGACTGAGTTTTGCTAGATTGAAAGAGATTCACGGTTCATGGAATACTTACAGAATTTTTCGGAGCGATCCTCAAAACCGGTTTGTCGTTCCTAAATTCTTGATTGAATCGTTGTTTTACCAGTTTTATATATGACAATCAATACTTTCAATAGCTTCACTTTTGAGTAAACAAAGTATTCAACCGAGTAGTCAACCTTAGCAACGATTGGCAAAACGTCAACACTCAACAGTGATGCCATTTTATATTATATCGTTTGTGTCCTACTAGTCAAAGTGTGCCCTATCGTACCGAACAGTGTGCCGTGCTGTGTTTTGGCACAGTGTGCAGAGTTGATTACCCCTTGAAAGAACTATATTTTTAGTCTGTACATGACGAGTTTTTGATAACTAATGAACAAAGTTTGCACTTGTTGATATCTTCAAACAAACAGGTTACTAGGGTAGTGTCTCCTGATTACTTCGATCTTCAACAAAACAGCATGATGAATACCATTTTAAAAACAAATCCTGATATTTGCATTCCAAGGAATGACCTAAACTTTAGTATTTTGTTATTAATTTGATAACGTAATTGCTTAATGGTATTGGAACGATGTTGCGAGATAACAATCAAAATCGTTCTACTGGACGTTCTGGTCGACGCATGTCCCATGTTCTTTTGGGTTTCATATACACATATGACAATTATATCGACATAGATCTGTGCTTTGGCCTAATATTAGGAACACTAACGGGTGTTCAATAAAAAATGAGAATGATTTCAGTGCTGTCCAGCGCTCTTGTGAGAGCATCGCGACTAAGTTGCGTCGTACGGCTGAACATTCTCATTTTTTATTGAACACATTTTTTATGGGGCATACTGCATGACAGATATTAGGGATATCAACACTATATAAGATTTTATTAAAAAATGCATCGAAGAATGATTCTAGTTTCATGATCGATTTGATTTCCCAACGATCACTCCTTCCTCAACAAGTATTATATGTCAGATTCGCAAAGCCTCCCCAGAATTGCCAGGTAACTCAAACTTGTACTCACACAACACTAACCAGCTTTTCCATTCTCTTCTTCTTCCAGGACGTCTTCCTCGGTAGTACCTGCGTTCAAATAATCATCGTATGCATCCTCCTGAGCCTGGTGTGGCCCACCTTCAAATACTACGCAAAGCTGACGGCCGTCTTGACGGTTTCATTCCTAGTCCTGGTGGTACCGATACCGCTGTTTTTATTCAAACCCCGGTGGCCGTTGAATGCTCTGTAAGTATATATACCTAGACAACGACAAGCAACAAGTCGCAAAACAGGTTGATAATTGATTTCCCTTGCCGTAATCAATTTGCAGCATTCCCGGGATCGTTGCGTGTCAGTTCATTCGGTGGATCGGCGTGGAGTACGAAATCCGGGGGTCGGAGCACATCAATGTCAAAAATGGTGGGGTGGCCCTCCTCAACCATCAGAGTGCCATCGACATCGTGCGTAAGTTGGGATTCGCCCCTTTGAGGAGGGTGAGGGAGTTGTTTTCATAAATTGCTAATTCATGCTTGTTCTTTTGTAGTGCTGTCCCGTTTGCTGCGCGAGTTCCGTAATATTGTGCCCGTGGTGAAGAAGGAACTCTTCTACGCTCTGCCATTCGGAATTGCCTCCTATCTCGTGGGGGTCGTGTTTATCGATCGGAAAAACATTTCCTCGGCAAAGGACGTGATGGCGCGTGAGGCAGTCGCTATCCAGCAAGATAACGTAAGCCTCGATGTGACATGGATTTTGTGCTTTTCTAGTGTAATCACTTGGGATTTCCTTGCTTTCCAGCTCAAATTGGCCATATTCCCTGAAGGCACGCGTCACGACAAGGATACGCTGCTTCCCTTCAAGAAGGGCTCATTTCATGTGGCTATCGATTCGCAGTCGGTAATTCAACAAATCATCGTGTCCAAGTATGGATTCCTCGATCACAAAAAGAAACGCTTCGGCCGGGGACGGGTGATAGTGAAGATTCTGCCGGAGATCTCGACCAAGGGAATGACCAAAGACGACATCAACCAACTGGTGGACAGTTGTCAAAAGACGATGCAAGCCGAATTCGACGCACTCAGTGCAGAAGCGAAACAGTACTGCCATCTATAATAGGGGGGAGCAAACTATTTTATGATTCGGTTGTGTAGGGTGTGGAACCGCGTAGGAATTCTTTCAATTCGATTGTGCTGAGCATGACAAGCAGAGGACTTGCATTTATCAGTACCTGAAATCAAGTCGTGCGTGTATTGGCGCACGTTGTAGTCAATTTGTGAGGTTTGGGAGTGCAAATGTTGCTTTAAGGATGCTCATTTCGGAACTACTGTTTCAAACTAGTTACAACCGTTGGAATAAGAAACCGTCAATCTAGTCTAAATTTAAAACGTCATTCAGACACTAGAAGTTTAGGGACAGGGGATCATGTTTATTCTACATTGTTGATTGTTTAATAAATCTGATTTTTTTTAAAATTGCGCATGACTTTGTGTTTTAATTGTATCACAGAGAATTAGAATTAGTAACTTTGGGAAAAGCTGGTCAACACCGAATTTTGTATTACATTTAAAAAAAAAACTTCAAGACGTATTTGGCTTTGGGTAGGAGAGTTCCTTGAACTGTATATTGTTGACATTTATAAATAGAGCTAGAAGAAGGGAGTAACAGCTTTTGTAAAAAAATGCTTCTCTCGATGATATCTAGGAAAGACACGCCTACGTGACCACCACAACTCTCGAGAGAAGTCATTGTTTAACCCAAGAAGGGCTTTGGTTGCTTTGAGATGCAACAAAGTGCTTGAAAAAAGATGTTCCTTACAGCCTAAAATTATCAAACATGAGACGGACCGAAAAGTTGTTGATCACCTGTTCTACCATGGGAAGGAGAGAGGGCTATTAGGCCCTTAATCTAGCTCTATCGAGATTTATGCTTTTTATAATTGAATATCTAGTAGTCCAGAATATTTCGGGTATGACATTTCCTCGTCTTCTCTATATATAAAAGCTCTAAATTAATCACCCATATTCTTGTTTTCGTTCAAACGGTTCCAACTTCTGGACACTATTTTTTGACGACTAAGCAGTCTTGTAATTTTTGTTTTTAACAAATGTTTAAATATGGTCCGACCACAGACAAACAGACATAACTCTTGCAAGTTGTTCATCGAACAAGCATTTAACGGTCAATTTAAAAGTATTGAAGTTGGTAGTGCCGCCACCTGTGGCGCGCATAGTCAATTCCCTTGCGTTTGACGTTTACACACTACCGCCACCTGTTCAGCGTACTACCCACCACAGTGTACTCAACAGATGGCTGTAATGTTTTAGTGACGATGTTTTACAGTGAGAAATATTCAATATGTTATGTCTGTTTGTCTGTGGTCCAACGTTTCGAGGTTTGCATCTTCCTTGGGAAAACCTGAATCCCAGTTTATGCTATTTATTTTTACTTTAACGCATTTTAGTTCACTTGTGACATGTCCGGAGATGAGCTTTGAGGTCGTGACCATTGCAATGAATTGGTATGAGAGGCACGGATGCTATCTATGAAAAAGAAGTATGTTAATTATATGGTGGTCAGAAATACTGAACAAATAGCATTTGTCTCACTATACGTCATTTCTCATTTATTAATGCAGAACACCAACAGACAACATAGGTCCTAATGATGTTTAAACTAATTTAATTAAATAACAGTCTATTTTAGTAAAATGCTAAAAAAATGAAACATTCACAAACTTTCGGTGGATCGTTTGTCGGGATAGGTGGAAATTGAAAACGAAAGCTATCCTGTTGAACACTCGTTGTATAGCGATCAAAGCACTATGTTGTCCGTAATTTGTTCGTTGGAAAGGTAACCTCAGCATCGTATTGTTTTGCAATGCCTTGGGACGACTGTTCAAGTCAACCGACTCAAGAATAGCAGGGCAGTCGATTCGTGTCCGCTACAACCATAGCGCTAGCAATGTTCCTGTGCGACTGAAGACCCTAATAAAATATACCATAAACGAATGATAACCCAAATGATTAACCTTTTCCGCAAATGGTATGGATGATACCCTGAACACGTCGTTAAGCAAAGTAACCATACACATTTGATTAGGGTAGGTTTCAAATGAATTAACTGACGACGACTTCTGTAACTTGGTAACCGGAACGGATCTCGCCAAGGAAGCCGACGGAGAGCAAAACGAATGAAGCGGCGTTGAATAAACTGAATACTCTCCGAATCGTTCTGATAGTATTCGAGCATTGAATGGACCAAAGAGCAGTACAATGACTTTAAACAGTACACACTGGTAAAATCCTTGGCGACTCAATGAAAGACGTAAGAAACATGATGCTTGAACGTTACTTGAATATCCAGAACAACTCCAACGCGGAGATAACAGAGCATTTTTTATGATTAACGATCATTCGAGTTAAACCCAACAAACAATTGAGAGCTCTTATAAAACACCTGAGTTGATCAAACGTTGAATAATAGCTTCCAGAGTTGAACAAGAATGTAGTTGTATTGCCATTTGATTAAAAGTTTTAAAAGCTGTTGGAGCACTCTTAAATGATTGTTTACGTTCGGTTTACTATATGCTTTATAAGACCTACGATAACTTTTATAGCACCTTAGTTAAACCGATTGACAAGAGCTATATAGAACGTGGAATAAACGCATCAAAACAAACCATTGGGAGCTCTTATAAAACACCTGAGTTGATCAAACGTTGAATAATAGCTTCCAGAGTTGTACAAGAATGTAGTTGTATTGCCTATTGCCTTTTTGGTTAGAAGCTTCAAAAGCTGCTTGGAGCACTCTTAAATGATTGTTTACGTTTGACCAACCACCAACCACAATTTTGTTGCTAAAAATAGCACAAGTGATAGGCACGTTTATATGACCATAAGGCAATGATTCGACTGCAAGAGAAGTCACTCAAGATGAGTTTCATATACTTCTCTCATATGATCAAAATATGTATTCAAGAATAGAGCAGATGGAAACAGAAGCGGCTGGCAATCCGGGATCATGAGTTCGAATCTTGCTTCGAGAAAACCCTCGGTGGAGTAGAGGTAAATTATATATAGGTGTTATTAATAAATGCAAACATTAATTTAAGACATATATCATATAATCAACGATAACATTTCTAGATAAATTCTCTCAATTAATGATTAGAGAGATTAACTGAAAGAATATCAACCAAAGATTAAACAGATGCTTGTTACTACTTCCTCCATGATCGCAGAATGTGAAATATGACATAATTACATATTTTTTCAATGTGTGTGTGTGTGTGTGTGTGTGTGTGTGTGTGTGTACAATCTAACCCCCACTGTCCGGCAGTGTTATTATGGAAGAAAACTGCTTTTTATTACCCTTAAATTAAAGCAGGTTTAGTCCGGGAGTTAGAAGGTGTTAGCTCTATTGCAGCTCCAGTGACCCATTTCAGAATGCCTGGTAATTCACGACCACTCCGAGGTCACTTTTACTTACAATAAGCCCCGCATGTTCACTCTACCTTTATCAAATGGATAATGGTATCATAAACACACTTCCAGATTCAAAAATATTATTTCCAAATCTGGCACGTATATAGTTTTGAAATTTGTTCAACTGTATTAAATTGATTTGAATGGACATTTCTTACCAATTTTGTTTCTAATTACATATTTTTTCAATGTGCACAAATAAGTTCAATTAATAAAAACTGTACAAGCAATTATTTTGGCGTACCACGACAATTGTTAAACTAATTTTAATCTGTGAATATTGTGAGTACTTACACAACGGTTATTAAGGAGTCATTAAAAAGTGCTATAAACGCTTTTCACCGCTTGCTGTATAGTAATTATTTAGGAGTCATAAAAGAGTGTAACAAACGCCTCTCAGGTTTACTCTCTACTAAATTTCAAAGCAGCTGTCAAGAAGTGTCTACAAGCGTTGTATAAGAGCTTTCACCAAAATAATAAAGCTTGAGTTTAATATGTATCTATAAACGTTGTATAAAAGTTGCTTCTACTCCTATACCGCGTATACATATAATGCTGTAGTTGAACAGGTTCTCCAAACCAGTGTAAACAAGAGTTTTACAGAAGTTGTAATAAACAAATTGTACAGTTATTATTCAGCATGCAGTTGAATAAAATCACAATGGAAGCGTTTCTTCAACAAGAAATTGATTTTGGATAAACGTTTTACTGAATACGTTAGACAACACCTTTGTGTTGCAGTTGTATAGGTTGTCCAAACCAGTGTAAACAAGGGTTTTATAAAAGTTGTGGTTAACACATTGTGCAATTATTATTCAACTTGCAGCTGAACAAAATCAAAACGAAAGCGTTTCTTCAACTGGAAATTGTTACTTGGGTACCACCACTATTGCCGAGTCTATTCAATTTAGCTATCGTTATAGCGTGCTTGATTTTATTGAAGGCTGACAGATAGGGGAAAAGGATGTAATGTCGGCCTAAATGCTCCTAATATGGGCCCATACATAAATTCAGCAATCGACTAAATTTTCAATAGCGACCATAAATAACTATTAGTACCGTCCCAATGACGCGATCATTTAGATAAAAATGATAAATAGGCCAACATTATAGCCATTTCCCCTACTTTAGATAATAATGCAATGTCATAATGTGCAATAATTCAAATATTATGGACAAGTTCTCTTTTTCGGTCAAATTGAAAAGAGAATAATGCAAGGAAGTTGAATCGATTGATTCCTCTTCGAGTCCTTAAACTGTATCTAAGCTGGGTCATGGAAGACGGGGTAAAACCACCGACAAACCGACATGAATGACCATAGCAAAAACAATAAAATTTCTGACCAAAGCACACTACTGACATCTGGCTCCGTGTTCGCGGGAAATATTTAGCTAAGCCATGAACCGGCATGCCAAAGTTCTGAATTGATTCATGTCTGATTTATTTTGGACACATTATTTTTATCTAGATAAATAAAAATCCTATGGTTTTGACAGTTCGGATCGCTGCACATTCAAATCGGCCACTTACGATTTTCGGGCATAAGTCAGAATTAAGTGTCGTGTCGGCTTGTCGGTGTTTAAACGGCTATATTACGCTTAAAATAAAATATCACCAAATCTGCACAAAATTTCACTATTAAATTAAGCCAGCATATCTTCATAGATTTTCAAACATCGTTTTTATTGGATGAAGTTTTAGCGTGAAACAAAAGCAGTCTGAATAATAAAGTGTGGTAAAAGAAAGGTCAATTCATGTCATCGTTTTGTGACCTGAATAAGGTAAAATCGCTACAGTTATACATTATGCTTACTATAAAACTAATGAAAAATAGGAACCATAAAGCTTCGAACTGTGATGAAGATTGAAATTTCGATCGATTGAACCATTACATCAAAATCCACAGTAAAGCTGAGCTTGGACGGTATATAATTATATTTGAAATATTATTGTTTATTAGATTAAACAAATCTAATTTTACTC